GATAAGTTAAAATTTACAACAGTATATGCAAAGAGGTTGAGTCACAGGTTTAAAACAGCACCATGATACTGGCATGTGTATACAGCTTTTTCTCAGAGCGAGAAGGCTAGAGCTGTGCCACTAGACAGCTGAGAAGTTCATTTGTCCCAGTAAACTCTACCCAGGAGCATGTTAAAGATCCAGAGCCAAACACCCCCAAGTCGTAGGGAAGTTTGGATCCATGTCCAGGCCTAACCTCTGAAAACTCAGGTGCCCATTGCCTGCCACCAGCAGCTGAGGTGCCCTGCAGCCAGCTGTGGTGGGACGCAGACGTACTAGCACGCTTCGTGGGAAGGCAGATGGCATCTGAGGTTTCTCCCTCTGCACGAAACCAAAGACATGGGGCAGGGATGTGTACAAAGTTGCCCTGCTTGCACCTGGAAGTTTGAGCAATGGCTAATTATGGCAATCTGCATACACTCCCCTTGCTCTGCATGTACAAGCCAGGGAACAAAGCAGATGTGCCAGTCCTGCAATCACATACCCACTTTATGGAAGAAACAGACCCCCAAAGGCCCACTTTTTACAGTATGCTGCTCTTTGGGCATGCGTGCTCAAACATCAAGTCAGCTACCCTTTTTCTGATGGCTCATTTTCCCAGCAGACTACGCTGGCTCATCAGAAGTAACCCGTTTCATCATAGGTGACATAACCCTGAGAGTTTCCCAGTGGGACGCAAGCAGGTTACAAAACCAGCTTGCTGGGCTGATTTCTGGCAGGAAACGCACCTGGAGATCGGCCAGCTCCTCCAGCTGACTCCTTGGCTGCCCGTCTGCAGGCCTGTCCCAAAAGCAGGAACCCAAGGCTTCCTGGCTCCTGAGACAGCTGGTTCCTGGCGTTGCAGAGTCTTAATGTTGCCTGACACTTCCCACAATAAAAGCCCTGTTTGTAGTTACTTAGCAGTTTGTCAAGCTTTATCTACTTTCTCCAAAATGTTATTGAACGATTTTTATTGTTAGCACTATTTTCAGATCCAACCAAAAAGGTCCAGCTGTTTCCCAGAGTAAAGTTAGGGAAAATATTTTTCTGTTGTTTGGCCACTAGAAACACTTTGAGATCTTATCCTGAAGGTACTTCAGAGCTTTGGAGCAAATGCTTGTCATTTGGCAGGGGACGAATTCTGTGGCAGAGAAGTGCTGAGTCTCGCTGACCTCTGAAAAGCTTCGCAGAGCTGGACAGAGAAACTTTCTGAGCCACCCCCTTTTCTGCAGGATTCCTGTAGGGATACAAAAACCTGAAATCTTGGATAAATGCCACCACAGATACTAGGCAGATGATACGCTGCAAAGCTGGTGCATTCTGGACACACTGGACTCACTGCAAATTCACACATCAACATCAGAAAGAGAGCAGGTTTCCTCTGCTTGTGGTAGCACTGGTTTGTAAAATCTCCAGAAGGGCTCTGCAAGATGAGTAGGAAGCAAGATAAGCCTATGGGCACACCTTCAACAAACAAAGCAACTGATGGGAAACAAAAATAATAAGCCAGCACTTGAAGCTTCTCATCGTTTTCTCTGGCTGTCATTGAAAACCTTTGCTGCCATACCACACAGGCCGAGAGCCTTTCCAAAAGGTTAGGTGTTGCAGCAGTTTAAAAAAAAAAAAAAAAAAAGATGGAGAAACTCTACCCTGGAGCACTGCTCCTCTCCTGACCCTGCAATGAGAGACTCCAGTATCTTGCTGTTGCTCCACTGTCAGGGAATATCTGGGACACCCACTGGCATAGGACATGGTTTGCCCTGCTCCGATGGGGGCCCAAGTGGAGGTTGACAGTCTAAGGTTATACTTGCCTATGCAGTCTTCATCAGCACAGCCTTTAATTTCATGAGCCCATGGTAAATTTTCCTGTGGGGTCCCTGTCTCACTGCACACAAGGAAGGCCTCTGGAAATGAACCAAGGCTGCATCGCACATATATTCTCCCCTTCTGTTTTATAAGAACATATCTCAAAAATCTCTTTATTTCACTCTGACACTGAGTTCCTGTAAGTGATGAAGAACCTCAAGTGAGTGCTGTGCTTCCTGCAGCACTAATGAGGGCAGGAAGCATGTTTCTTTGCCTATGGATCAGATGCGATTATGACTCAGATGTGTCCCGAAGATGAGTTTGGACATATTCTGGCCTTTATGTGGATTTGCAGCATCCTTGTCAGATTCTTCTGCAAGCCCAGCAAGATCAGGAGCATGACATAATAAATCAACTTTGTCAATGGGCCAGAAATAGGACTGGCATTGCCACTGTATTGATTTTTTTCATCTGGTTATATAACTAGGTTGACTTGCGCCTCTCATCCCCAGAAAAGCTGTGTGGATGCAGCACTGGCTACATCACCAATTCTGAGAGGAGAGATGCACATCGTTGGCACTGAGCACTCAGTACAGTGCTGCCATTTAGAAGTGAAAGGACACTGGAGCACCACGAGCTGGATCTGACTCATGGGTAGGGATGCTCAGACACGATGCTCCACACCCTTATAATGCTCCTGAAAATACACATGGCCATGGGGGCTCCCACTTTCCTGACCGGGTGCTAAAGGTTCCCATAGTTTTACTGCCGGACACGAGAATAGTGTAATAAAGCAAATTCAGAAACAAGATTAAAGCGTTGCAGATAAACACCTGCAACTGGGCATGGGTATTCCCGTTGCACACCCACACCTAAGCAGGGGGAATGGTATTACTTGTATCCCTCCTTGGGCTTTGCCTGTACAAAACGTCGAGCTGATGGACAAGATCCTTTCAGGCAGCAAGCCAAAGCACATCAACAAGTCCCTTTGCGGAGGTGGTTAATGAGAACCAGGCTAACGAGGACCCTTAGGCACTGATGAGAGAAATGCAGAGGGAAACATTTAATCTGGGAGTTTCTGGAAGTACAAAACCCAAAATAGGAATGATGCAGACCTTCACCTTCAGCATCTCAAACATACCCCTTCTAATTCTTGCAAAACCACACCGATGCATTTGCACTGCTGAAGCCTTAGGGAAACCCCAAAACCCTGGTTCCTTTCCCAGGGCACCTGGCTGTGTCTTTCACTCCCCCTCCAACCCTTCCCCCCCCAAACCCTCATCTAGAATTAGCTGGGCCTGAGCTGGGGCTTGGGAGCGGTTGGCAAGCACCCCAAGGGCAAGTAGGGATGGAGCAACAGTGGGATCCTTTCAGAGCTCTCTCCCTGGAGATCTCCCGCCTTTGGTGGGAGCGGATCCCAAACCGTGGGGGAGCATCGCACCCAGATGCGGTGGGGAGGGTCGTCCCATGGGTGCCGGCCGCGCAGTGGGTCCCCCTTGTGGAGATTCCCTCTGCAGCTTGGAGTGTAGGGTGGCCCTGGGGACCAACGTGGTGGCTCCGTGGCCCCTCCATGGTTCAAAGGCCAGGATGGCTCTGAGGACCAGCGCAGTGGCCTGGTGTCCCCTCTGTGGTTTGGGGTGGCCCTGAGGACCAGCACGGTAGCCTAGTGTCCCCTGCATGGTTTGGGGTGGCCCTGGGGACCCAGTGACATGGCCTGGTGTCACCTCAGGGTGCAGGGTGGCCCCCGGGGACCAGTGAGGTGGCCTAGTGTGGGAGGGTGTAGCTGTATGGGAGGAGGGGGGAGAGGGAGGGAGAGA